AATAATAATAAATCAAAATCTATGTATTTTTTTACTTTACATGTTTAATTTACAAAAGCCTTTTGTAAATTAAAAATATAAACAAAATTCTATTTAATAGAGTGACTCAGTGGCATCCGGCTATTTAAAAAATTAAATAAATTTAAAAAAAAAAAAAATTAAAAAAATAAATCGAAATCGATTTATTTTATCGAAATCGATTTATTTTATCGAAATCGATTTATTTTTTAATTTACAAATGCCTTTTGTAAATCAAAAAAATAAATCAAAATCTATTCAATGTTTAATTTACAAAAGCCTTTTGTACATTTAAATTAAGAAAAATAAGAAAAATAAATCAAAATCTATTTATTTTTTAATTTACAAAAGCCTTTTGTAAATTAGAAAAATTAAATAAATAAAAAAAATAAATACACGTCGATTTAATTTATTTAATTTATTTGATTTTTTAAACAGCCAAATCCACAAACAAAAAGAAATCTTTTAACTTTTAAATATATTTAAGTTACAATTTGAAAAATTGAATAAATTAAATAAATCTTTTAAAAAACATAAATAAAACATCAAAATCTATCAATGTTTAATTTACAAATGTTTTTTGCAATAAATATTTGAATTGAAAATTAAATCATTTGTGTTTGTTTCTTTTTACGAAATGATACCTAAAGGACCCTCGATCATATATATATATATATATACGTAGGAAACAAGACTTTTTTTTGGAGCTTGGTCCAGCACACGGCTTGGTCCAGGCCGAGGCATTTGAAGGATGAATTGAGCCGGGCCATGCATGGCCCGTCGTAGCCGGACGACCCGGGGGGTCGTTGAGGAGCGGTTTCAGATCCTTCTTTGCCCGCTTGACCTGCAAGACCTTTCTTTGGAGCGGTTCCCCCAAAAAGGGACATGTGGAGAGAGAGGAAAGCATTGTAGTCCTTCGTCCACGGGATCTTCAGCCTTGCCTGGGTCTTTCTGTTCTTCAAAAACTCGTACGTCACGACTCCCCGCTCCTCACCTGGTTGGGATGAAGACCGTCCCACCTGATCGGCGAGGAACGACCCAATGGTAGTGTCCAGCAAGTCGCCGGCGGTTCCGGGCTGTTGTCGGGCTTGGGCGGTGCCTGTCGCAGGTGGGATTTGGGTAGAGACCAGCTTGTCATTTGGGTAGAGGGTGTGGGGTGTGCCGAGGAGGCGAGCCTTTTGTTTCAACGACCAAGCATCGCAATCCAAACATGGCAGATGGTTCACACATGGGAAGCCGTTCGGAAAGCCGTTAGAAAGGGTTGGAAGACGTTGAACCGGGATTGATTTGGTCAACAGGAGTGCCCGTTGGGCCGTTGGGTGGACATCATGTTTGATCGATCCGAAAAACTGTGTGGACAGTCACACAAACCTATGAAACGAGCGTGACAACGAGCGTGTTCCAGGAGCTTTCCCACATGTGGCAAGTGGCCTTTGAAGCTGTGTGCATGTATTCCTGGATCCCTGTCCCTCCCTGTCCTTTGGAACCCTCCTTTCGAATGAACCGTCGCGTCTAAACGTGGCCATCCCCAACATGCATGGTCTATAATTAATGCCTCGTATATATGACCCAGAATTGAGGGGGGTGTTTGGATTCTGAGGTACTGATTACTCTCGCCAGCAAGTCCAGATGGTAAACCCCATGTTCAATCCATACCACTGGCTGTGGGGAAGAGGGGAGAAACATATTATTATGGATCGGGTACTGAGGATACTCTTGAGTTTAAGAGCTTATTTATGATTGCAACAGGTGTTCTTCCTCAAGCGGCTTATCACAACATGTGTTCTTCCTCAAACAAGCAGGGGGATGATTCACGGATTTTGCTCATGGTAGGAGAAAAGGGTTTGGGTTTTGCGCCGTAAGTGGCCTGGGAAGTGCTTGATGTGGCAAGACAAATAGGTTGGTGGGTGAGGTGATGGTTTTGCACTCCGCTGGGGGTCCCACCATGGTCTTGGCTTTGCCGGACGATGTTTTGCCCTGTCGAGGGCCCCCCTAGGTCCTCCAGTGAGGCCCTTTGGAGGTCATCCACCTTGGCACATTTTGGTGATGTCTTGGCTCAGAATTGGGGTCCAGGAAGAACCACCGACCCCGAGAGGTGCAAGAATACCATGAGAACGAGTTTCCTACGGGTTCCTCCACGTGGTTCAGTGGTTCAGTGGACCATATCAAGGCAACAAAGTTTCTCTTTAACCCCCAGAAAAATAATCAACATTGTAACCAGTCCCGTAGCTCTTTGGTGGTGAGCCTTGTAGCTTTGTGACCCAAATGGCGTTGCCGTTTCCGCCGTCCCAAGGCTTTGAGATGTTCCCCGTAAACGGTGTTGTTTTGGGGGGTCCACGACGCTCAGCTGACCGCTGACGCTCAACGTGTCACCGCCAGAGTGCGGGAACCTCAAACTAAGGATCCCTTTTCAGTGTCCAAACATGGCAGTGGGGTCAAAAACAAACTGAAAAAGTTTTCCAACTTGGAAACAAGAACGAGATGCGACAAAACTTCCATTCAAAGGGGGATGTGAACATCCTCTCAACAGAAGCAATGGAAGCAGTGACCGAAACGGGTAGTTCAACCCGCAGGACCTTCCTAAAGAGGACCCGAGCTTCATGAGCTGTTTCGATGGGGCCGAAACGCTTGCTGCTTGGAGCCCTGCTTCTGACGCTGTGCGGAACCCTGCTGCACATTTGGAACGTCACCACGCAAGTGGAGGTGCCTTTTGCCTCCTGGAGGATGACGGCAGAGGTCCAGAAACAGCAGCACTGGCCGATTCTAGGACGAGATTCCTTGCTGGCCAGCATCCCCTACTGGAATGTGGATGATTTTCGAGAACGTGAAGGGAGGGAAAGAGCACTCTTGCATGTGCTCATGACATTGATGTCTTACCCAATGGAGGTGGATATAATTTTGGTGTCAAACACCGGTGTCAAGGCGGCTGCTGAAGGCTTGGTTTGGAGGGAAGCACTTCGTCCACAGCCATTTTGCAACAAGACTTTTCAACATGGGTATTGTTTGCACTGGGAGGCTTTGCACGCACTGCGTGAAGCGGCCTTGACTGGTGACGTAGAGATGATTGGCCCAGGTGTTGCTGATACAGCTCGGACTGATAAGATTGGGGCGTCCCAGTCCAAGCAGTTGGCCTATGATTACTATGCTTATATGGAAGGAGATTTGCTGCTGCCTGCGGCCAGTTTTTATTTTTTTGCGCATCATGCTGATACACTCTTCCACCGCGGCTATAAGCTAAAGGCTCACCGACGAGAGCCTGGAGGTCCCAGTGGTGCTCGGATGGTGGATATGCGGCCACATTTCAATTGTGAATACTCGACGCTCTTCGATGGGAGTGCGAGCACCTCCTATCTGGACAGTGTTTTCTCTTTGTTTGCTTCGGACGCAGAGATGCCTTGTGGGTTGGTTGGGGCTCATTGTTTTTGTCGTTGACTTTGCAGCGCTTATATTGTTCTATATTCTATAAATTCTATTATTTTTATAAATTGTTTGTATTTGTTTGTTTTTTGGGCACATACTAAGATATACTAAGCGCCCTAAGCGCCCCTTTATTGTACAAAGACCGGTTTTGGCGGTTTGGACTCAAGAACCGAGTCTAAGTCAAATGTTTTGTCTTATAGATGATCCCAATGTTCGACGTGTTTGTTGGAAGCATGATCAAACCATGAGTTTCCTTCGATTGTGATTGACAGCATTCTGGGTCGACCCCCGTTGACTGTTTGAAGAATCATCCACCCTTTCTCATAGTTTGTGACAAAAACGGAGACCAAGGCGTTCAGATTCGGGATCCTAGTTAAGACCCAGCCTTCTGTTTGTGACAGGATCAGAGGGATCGCGTTTACATCACTTCAGTGGGTGACTATTGCCTCTTCGCCAGCTCTCTACTGCTCTCACGCCGGATGTTCCAGCGCTTCCTCACGCTCCGCGAATGGGATTGGGACCATCGACCCAACCAGGCGCCGTCGTGGGTGTACTTACAACAAAAAATGAACAAAACACAGTGTCCACTAATTATTGTATCTACACTCCACACCACATTTGAACCAATGGTGAATCTCCTGAACTTCTCAAGTACGTTTCTCCAGTTGGTTTGCTGATGTTTTGCGATCTCTCATGTGTTTCTTCCACCTGTGGCCGGTCCACCTGTGCCGCCGCACAAATCCATCGACCGGTGCCCAGGAACCTTGGGCAATTACCGAGGCCATTGATCCGTCGCTGCAGAGGAGCTGGGTCCCTGTGACGCACGAGCGAATGCAGGCGCTGCATTTGATGCCCTTGCACAACGACGGGCTACAACACCTTTCTTTCACACACGCGGAAGTCGATCAGTTGATACTTGGAACATTTTGGAAACAGGTCTTCGTATCGCAGTGTTTTTCCCCAAGGTCAAATTGTATGTGGTACATCGGGATGGGGTTAAGAAACCGTTTTGGGGTATGTCTTTGAAACCAGATGCTTGGATTGTCTGGTACATATCTTGAGACTGTTGTGCCAGAACATGTGTTTGTTTGTTTTTTTAAAGACAACAGTAACAAATTACCTTTCGGTCATGGCCAACTTGTTCGCTTATTATATACCCTCAATGGGGTGTTGTTTGGATCCACCCCTTAGGGGTACCAATTGGTGGTAAGGGGATGTATACGGGGTGTCTACCACCACCACCCCCCAAGGATCCAAACAACACCCCTTGGGGTTTGCTGGTATATCATTATGCTTGATTCATTGTTGGTTTGTTCGGTTACAAATGCTTATGTTGTTTTTGCACACGATAATTAGCTTTAGGAGATGGTCGGCATGTTGTTCAACCGATCTTCGGAGAGGCAGTTGAAGTCCGGTCGGTCGACAAGGGCACAAGGGAAGTCCCAAGCTTTGAGCCACTTCATGATATAAATCACCCAAACAATCCCAAACGCTCCACGTGTGGCATATAATATATATATAGCCAGGGGTGGTTTCAGTATACCCTACCTCAGACAATCATGGAAGCTGAGCAGATTATTGTCTTCCAGGGGCCTATGTGCCTCTTCCATGATTGTTCAGGGCTCAATGTATGTAACATCCTCTTGGAGTGTTCGGTTATGATTCACCCATCAAACATCCACGCGAGGATTATGACCTGCGTTTGGAATCGCACGCTTTGTCCTTCAATGAAGCCTTGAAGCTCTAGTTCGGACATGTCCAGTTGGTTGCGAAGACTGAAAAAAGAACATGGCACTATGTCGCAAGACCTCAACTCAACCTTTGTGCTTCGTTTTTTCTACTTTGCTGTTTGTCACTGCCTTGATTCAGAAACGACCTCCCCCTACTCAGTCAAAGCGCACTGGATGCAATGTCAGATGCAAAGAAGGGGTCGAAAAAAAGCGACTGCCCAGCGCGCCTTCCGTGCAAATCGCCTATAGAGCTTCAGCCTGACGAGCATGACAACGCACACGAACAGGCACAGGGACTTGGTCGCAACACAGCTCAAGCTTGCAAGCTCAGAATCAACGACCTTTAAAGAGGTATTCCGGAATGAAAGCCTCTAAAGAGAAACCTAAACCAGAAACGAAGACAGTAAAGTTCATTGCTGCGAATGTCCCTTTGTTTTCTTAAGCAGTTGTTTTCCATCATCGCCAGACATGTTCCAACCACAAGAAAGCTCCGCGTCTGCGAAAGCGGCGTGAGCGCATATGCCATGCGCGGTTCTGTGGGGGGAATGCTGCCATGGGCCATGCGGGCTTTGGCACTCTGCAGTGCTGCAGGGTGTTTGGGCTATATGGTCTCCAATAGACCAACACCTGCGGTTCCAAGAGAAGAGAGAAGAGATCCCTGTTTGCGGCTGGATGAACGTGACAAGGATGAATTAGAAATTCAGCAAGAAACACCATCTTGGGTGTTTCTTTCGTTCATCGCTTTCGATGTTCTGTTTTTATGGGTTTCAGTCAACGCTGTCTTTCTGTCCACACTATATATAACATGTCCCGCTCTCAGGGCTGCTTCACAAGTAGGACAACTCACACTAACATACCACACAACATATGCTTGAAATAGCTTGAGATGTTAAACTTGGTGGGTTGTAGTCCTTCACATCCAATAGGCACTGTTTAGGCATGTAAAAAGGCTCCTGCGGCACCACTCTCGGTCTTGGCCGCGCCAGTGGCCACGTGGCCGACGTCTCCAAGGAGCTTTGCCGGCTCCCGTAGGTGTGGACTACGTCTCCAGCTCGTTGGAAAACTCATGGCTGACTGAGTCGCATCATCAACAGATCTGCGCTTTCGCCCAAACACAAAGCAAAGCCACGTGCCGTGATCTGCAAATCAGAACAGCGCTGGGCAGTTCGTTTTACATTATATGTTGGCCTGTGAACGTTTTCTGGAGTTCTTTTGGTATAGAGCTGGAGTGCGGATTGAAGCAACAAATCATGTCCGATCTTGTTGGAAATAAGAAGCGCACCCGATTCGCTACAAGCGACCACGGCGTGCCGTCGGGCGACTCGGGTCCCGTTTGGGTAGACGTCGGTCACCGAGCTCCAAAACCATGTGGTGGCGCGATCCGCGTGAAGAACTGAGGAATCTGTGGTTGAACTATTCCCATGCGATCTTCAAACCCAATGGCCGGGCACCACGGGCTCCCAGTACGGAGGAAGCCCAGGTCTTGTCCTACTTCTTGGACGCGCCTTGTCTCCGGTGTGTGATCCATTGGAAGTTGAGATGCTGTTGGTGCTTGAAAAGCTAAGTGAAAGGTAGGGTTGGGAAGGCATGGAACATGAAGGTAGGCTGATAGGTAATTAGGTAGGGTAGGGTAGGGTTGGGAAGGCATGGCTGACGGATATGAACATCAGAATTGGCCCTTACACACTTCGCACAGGTACTTGTTCCCATCCCAAGTCCGCGTGTCGTTCAAGTACTGGGATTCAGAGACCACCGCAACTTGAGCCGCCACGGTGCCTGCACAGCCAGTGGATGAGAATGTTCCTCTACAAACAGGTGGTGTCCACTTCTATGATGATTTCAGGGAGCGTACTCATGTTGACTCCAAATAACCCAGACACTCCATGTATATGCCTACATTGACCCCCAAAACCACCCCAATGTAGGCATATATGGCATACATACATGGAGTGTTTGGGTAATAGTTGTGTGAGTTGTGTGCCTTTGCAATACTTGGCTACAAAGTTTGGTCACCCTTAGTATTCGGAACCATCGACGGAGGTCAGACACAGTTCCGCGGCGAAGTGAGTGCACAAACTTGTCCTCATTGGCATCTTCATGTTTTGTTTTTGTTGGACAATGATACATACGTCCTTTACTTTTGTTCAGGATCTCTCCCTCCCTTTCTCTACAGTAGTAAACCCGGGGAGATTACCATGGAACCTGAAAATTGACCTTTGGAAGACTATTTGACAATTTCCTTTACAACCCAGTGGTTGTCAGGTTCCATGTTAATTTTCCAGGGTGTAATATAATGTAATGTAATATATAAGCCGATATACCTGGAGCCCCGAACACTTTTTTAAAGGTGCGCCCCAAAAAATCCTCCGCTGCAACATTTACATGTGCTCAGGTCTTGGAGGAACGCTTGTCAAAAAAGACAAGACATGTGAGAAGAAACACGGATGTATTTAACAAAGAAGCTTGCTTGGCCTGTAAGATGTTTGATTGTGTTTTCCAATGCTCCTTATCAAGCTGCGAAAAAACATAATTAAAAAAAAACACAGCCATCAGAGGCAGAGAGTGCAAGTAATCAAAACCGGATGGCTGGACAGCCAGAACAACCCTAATCACCAAAGCTGCCTTCGCCTTGGCGGGAAATGTGGATGGCCGTGGGTTCTTCTTATACACTCACAGAAGTGTTTTGTTTGGCCTCCAAGCCTGCCTACAACACCAAGGGACCAAGAACTTAAGAGGTTGAAGAGCGGATTTGAAGGATTACAAAATGACATCTACTCATCCACCGCCAAAAAACACGCGCCAATTCCTGAAAAAGCAACGCCTTCGCCTAAACCAAAAGCCAAACTGACGCCATCACTCAACAAACAGACTCCACGGCAAAACCACACCAAAGAAAAGGACACCAAAAAGACGCCAAACCGACGTCAAACAAGGCCAACTTGGTGCCTTTGGGTGTGTAATAACGTGGGGCCTCAGGTCTTGTCAGATATTGAGAGTGTGGGACGTAAGTTGTCATCACTTTTTGGTGGGGTGCGTTGATGTATCCTCTTGTTTGGTAGCGTTTGGTGGTTTTTCTGTTTCAATTTCAAAGAAGCTTGCTCAAGGAAATGTAGGCTGTACTCGTACTCTCTAGGCCATGACAGAACTTCAAAGCGGTTATGATATGGGGAGTTGCTCATCCCTTGATGAAGCTTTGCTATCAAGAGGAACAATTTTGAGATGCCCGCACATGCTCAGGAGCTTGAAGCCCCTGTTGAAGGTCCCCTGTTGGGAAAGAGCACTTTGCGCTTCCAGTTAAGACTAGCTAATCTATGCTAATAGATGCAATGGTTTAAGGCTGCTTCTACCTTGGAAGTAGCCGGGAGGTCTTTTCCTCTCGTCGAATGGTTTTTGGATGTTTTTGGTAAGATATACCCATATAGGCCCTGAACAGGTTTTTGAGTAAACCCCCAAAACTTACTCCTTACTCCACTCGAAAAAATGAGCGTCTCTATATTTTTTTAGTAGTACATGTATATATTGTTAATATTTTATCAAAGCATATTCCTGTATTACGAAAGCCAGCCTTCGTAGAAGGCGCTAGCGGAGTTGTGTCTGGCGAACGAAGTGAGTAGTTAGGGGGTCTGGGGGGGTGGCCCGAGAAAGGGACACGTCAACTCAGCACATGCTGGGGGAGGAGGGTGCTCCGAGGGAAGGTTTTTTGAGGTTGTGTTGGAGGTGATTTTTGAGGGGTGGTGATGCAAGAAATGCCAAATGCATCATTTGCATCATCTGAATGGAAAGGTGTAGTTGGCACCTTGCAAGGTAGAGAGACCTAGGGTAGCTATAGTGCAGCTACCAGGTATAGTACTTCAAGTTCCCTTTCCGTCAACCGCTTGAGAACCTCTACACACGCACAGCAAGCCACAGCCTTGAAGTCTCATTCGTGCTTTGAACTTGTATAGGTGTGTAAGAGGTATAGCAACATACTACCTGAGAAGCTGCAAAACGAAAGCCAGCGCTTCCCTTTCTCGAGAACTGCGCGTCGAAGCATAGGATAGACAGGTAGGTCTGCACCCTAGATCCACCATCCCACTCCATTTTCTTTCATTTCTCTACGGCAGCTCCGCTTGGCATTTGCCAGGTGGAGGCGGCCGTGAGACCTCTTACACACCTACACAAGTTCAAAGCACGAATGAGACTTCAAAGCTGTGGATTGCTGTGCGTGTGTAGAGGCTATCGAGCGGTTGA